TTCATGACAGCATAAAGATGCTGACAAAAGGCAAGGCTTTTTATTGTATGCACAACACAATGATAAGTAGCATTTATAAAACACACTTCTAATAGTGCAGAAATGTGAAGGTCAGAACACTCAAAATCATATAGTGCTGAAAGAAAGCAACAACATTATACAGGGAATTAACAGAGTCCATTCCATGTCAGAATAGTGAATAACCAATTGCAGAACAATAGAAAGAAAATGGGTACTCCAGGAGAACAATTTTTGCTACCAGCTTTCAACTTTTTCAGTCTATAAAAGCAAATGTTATTTTCCTCAAATTCTGATAATGAAAATCACCTTATCTGGCAATACAATCTTCAAAGTAAACCCATCATGCAAAGGGGTCACAATTCCTGAAAAACTAGACGTGTGCTTAGGTTCCACTGAAATCAATTTTATTTCAGTGAGGCTGGTATAAAAAGGCCTGGCATCTTATTCACATCCAGAGTCATTCACCAAGGAAACAAGTGCGGTACAACAAAATGTTTTCATGGACGGTATCATCCATGAACAGGGATAAACCACCAAAGGGGTGGCAAAAGGAGACTGTGTAAGAAACTTTGGTTAGACTCAGGAGCTCTCTAGCAGAGAATTCTAAATTTGTTTTTGCATGCCTTGAAGTCCTCTCTCTCTTTCTCTCTCTGTGTATTGTTGTATTTGTGTGCCTTCAATAAGTCAGGACCGTAAAATGGCCACTGAAGCGAGTTAAGTCGGTCTGGCTGAATTCAGGATGTATTCCGATGGTGGTTTTAAAGGAGAAATCCATGCAATAGCATCTGGATACATCCCAAATTTTACTTCAATTCAGGTGAGGTAAGTCTCTTTTTAATGCATCTTAAAGGTAGTGCAATAATCTCCATAGTCTAATGCTCCAACCATAATAATAATAGATCATTCTTATCACCCTCCCACTCATACCATTCCACATCATCATAGTATTATATCATCCATTATCATGACATCATAATACCATTCCATCTCTGTCTTCATCTCCTTCCATCTTCTTTCCCACATCTTCTACCTTTACCCTACAATCCCTTCATCTTTCTACCTTCTTATCTATTTAATCTCATGTTCTCATATATCTCTCCAATCATACAAACATCCTCCTTATCAATACTACTAATATCTCTCTCCTCATTTAGACTATCTTACTGTGTTCTTGTTGCTGATAGTTTACCGATATGTTCCCTTTTATCAAAGCACATATATGCTTATTAACCTATTCTGGGCTATCGTTATAGTTTCTATTTCTCCTATTTTTTTTCTTTTTGGATTCAGACCATTTTTATCAACTTGCTTATCTTATTTCCAAAGTTTCCACAGTTCTTTACTTGTCTTCTGAGAACTTCAAAACTAGGTTCCATTGTTCATTGAAAATTTCTACTGCTCTGTTCTGGGTTAGTTTACCCATTTCCGTTGGGTCATATGGTTTCAAATATACATTCCTCCAATATTGACATTTCATCTTCCATATCGAGCATATGTCATTCTCACTGCTGTTACCATATAAAACATGATATTTCCAAGTACTCTTTCCAATTTATCTTCAAAAATTCCCAACTAGTACAGTTCTGGTTTCATTTGAATTTCCCCTTTCAAGATACTTGTTATCATAATGTGTATCTAGCTCCAATATATATATGCCATTAGTGGCTGTGTACCTAAGCAATATATATATATATATATATATATATATATATATATATATACATATTGCTTAGGTACATGACCACTAATGGTGGTAGAATGTTCCTGGCAAATCTTTACATTTTCAACATTTGTTGTCTTTGTTTTTATATATTCTAGATATCTTATCTGGAGTAAGATTCCAGCAGTAGAACATTTTATAACAGTTTTCTCTTACGTTTTGTGACACTGTTTATCTGACTCCCTTGTTGTGTGCCCTTAAGTTGTTTCTGACTTATGGCGACCCAATCATAGGATTTTCTTGGCAAGATTTATTCAGAGGGGGTTTGCCATTCCCTTCCTCTAAGGCTGAGAGACTGTGACTGGCAAAGGGTCACCTAGTGGGTTTCCATGACTGAAGAGTGATTCAAACCCTGGTCTCCAGAACTGTAGTCCAATGCTCAAACCATTACACCAGAAGTCTGGTTCTCAGAAGTCTAAGTACTCCCTCCCCTAAGTCCAAATACCAGGATCCCATAGAATGTTGCAGTTCCAGTTAAAGTGGAATCATAGTGCTATAACTGAATAGTGCAAAAAGGCTTGAATATTGCTGAAATGGGTGAAAAAAAGAGAGCACAGATAGCAGTGTTTAGAAAGACACGTAAAAGGATGATGTGTTTCATGAACAATTCATATTTAAGAAGTGCTGCATTATAAATATAACGTCCATACATCAAGAAAATGGGATTTTCTTACTTTTAATATGGTTTTGAAACTTAAAATGTCCTTTGAGGATCATAAACCATACCTTGGGGATTTTTGTTTTCTTGGTATCCGTTGTTGGCAAATGGGTAAAGATCTTTCTTTATGCTTTAGCAGCCATGAGTTGTGGATTTGTGTCATGCTGGCAAATAATTCTCCAAAAGAGAAGGGAGGACTCTGTTGGCCTAAAAAACTGAAACATCTGCTAGAGTTATTAGCAGCCTTTTGGCTGAGTTCAACAGCAGGGCACCTTGTGGTTGATAGATTCTTCCCTCAGCAATTCGAAACAATGCCATTAAAGCAGATTTCTCGTTTGCAGAGACTGAGGCAGCCTAATGAGGTATAAACAATTTCTAAAACAGATTCACTTTTTAAAAGATGGCTAAGCACACTAAGGGCAATCAGTGGACATCATTCGCATGTGTATCATATATTGTCATTGGCCAGTGCATTAGCCTATTCTTGTTGCTGCTGTTGTGTGTCTTCAAGTTGCTTCCAACTTTTGACAACCCTAAGGTGATACTATTGGGGTTTTTTTGGCAAGATCAGAAGGGTTTGTCTTTGCCTTCCTCTGAGGCTTATTGGTGTGACTTGCCCAAGGTCACTGTACAGGGATTTGAACCCTGGTCTCTAGAGTAATATCTCAGTGCTTAAACCACCACACCATGCTACCATGTAGTTAACCAAAATGACCCACGCAGATGGCATGTGCACTGCACCTACAGAGACAGAAATTCCAAGTCTATACACATTTGAGATGTGTATGCTTCTGTCTCCTTTTCATAGTGGCTCTTTTCTTCTATTAGCAGTAGAGGATTCTCTTTTTAACGGACCACTGGAATAAATCTTGAAAACATATGAAGATCCCAATTTGCCATCTGTAATTCTTTCAGCTAGATTCCAGTCTTCATGGCAGTTTGAAGAGTTCATTCAAAAGCAAGCTGTGGAGGAGAATATTATTAAAGTGAGTTGTAGGAAAAGATTGTAATGAATGCATGTTAATGGATTCTGTTGCAACTGCATATGGATAATAGCATCAAAAGCTAAAAATAACCAAAACACCCAGCCAGCCTCAAACTTTCTTTGATAGGAAACTTGTGTTATATGACATTTGGTAGGACTTCATTGTTTTTGATGCAACAGCCTAATATACCCACTTCTACAGATAGAGGTTTACAAGATATTGGAGAGAAATGCTTTGTTTTCAGAAAAGGCTAATGAGGAAGTCCATCAAAAGCCAGCTGTAAGGAGGATATTTTCCAGATGACTTTTTAAAACTCCCAGTCTACAAAGCTGAAACCTACTTATCATGGTAGGAGATCTTCAAAGACTACACGGTCCAAAACCAAAACCAAAAATATTGCCCAAAATATCATATACATGCAATTGTGTATTTCTTGCAAAGGGATCTTGTACCACCTTTGAGACTAATTGAGAGAAATGAAAAAGTTGGTATCATAAGCTTTTGTAGACTTAAGTCTACTTCCTCGGATGCAATGAAGTGTCCAGGAACAGACCTTTGGAAGCACCCTTTGTGTGTGAATAGCAATAGAAATGTAAAACTTGTAGGTATGCTGATGAAGTGACAAGTTAAGTTTTAATAATGGTCATTAGAGGATAAAGGCAGGAGGCAGTGGCATTGCTGGGGTGTGTGGTGGTGCAGCCCATACCAGGTGACACCCCTGAAGAGGGGTAACACCTGATAGGCTATCTTCCCATTGGGGGGCAAAAGGTGAGCGCACCTGGCCCCAACTCCCCATGGAGGCAGCAGTTTCCTCATGAGAAGGCTGCTGCCACTGTGAAGAGAGAAAAGGCCGAACGTACTTGGACTTGATTCCCTGTGGTGGCAGCAGTTTCTTTGTGAGGCCACTGTAATCACAAAGGAGGAGAAAGCCGAGCGTGCCCAGCCCCAGTTCCCTGCAATGATGACAGCTTCCTTACAAGGAGGTTGCTGCCACTGCAAAGAAGGAGAAGGCCAAGCACACCCAGCCCCGATTCCCCACAGCAGCAGAGGAGTCCACCATTGCTAGGAGGGAGAAGGGGTGAGTGTGATCTTTTAGTCCTGCTCCCCACAGCCCCACTTCCCGCACCAGGTGACACTGCAGAATGGGATGCCACTGGCAGGAGGAAAGATTATCTCTGTTCAACTCAATGTAAATGGACTGCAGTTTGTGGATATATTCCAGTTGTGCTCATTCCCTTTTCAATCTTCCTTTGTAATTTTTGTTGTTCAAGGACTGCTGTTCTGAAGATCTCCAGTTCATCAACAGTAAGTTGAACAGAGACAATGGTTTCCTGGCACACTACAGATATTATAACCCTAGTTATAGGCCAAAACTATCACATTGATTTATGCCTAGAAACAAGCAAGCAGCCAATGCGGTTGTTGCAACAAAGGAGTTGTGTGTTCCCATTGTTGTTGTTGTTCTGTGCCTTCCAAGTCATTACCAATTTATGGAAACCCTGAGGCAACTCTATCATGGGATTTTCTTGGCAAGATTTGTTCAGAGGTGGTTTGCCATTGCCTTCCCCTGAGGCTGAAAGCAAGTGACTTGCCCAAGGTCACCCAGTGGGTTTCATGACCAAGCTGGGTATCGAACCCTGGTCTCCAGAGTCATAGTCCAACACTCACATCACTATGCCATGCTGGCTCTCATGTTCCTTTTAGCCAGCCCCAGTTAGCAATCTGGCTGCAGCTGTTTGGGCCAGTTAAAGTTTATGAACACTCTTTGGAGACAGCTCCATCTAGAACGTGTTACAGTAATCCAACAAGGATGTAACTGAGGCATATGTTACTGTGGCCAGATCTGACATCTCAAGGAACAAGTGCAGCTGGCACACAAGCCACTGCACTTCTAGCCACTGCTGAAACTTGAGTTTCCAGGCTCAGAGGGGAATCCAAGAGCAAACCCAAGCTGTGGTTTTGCTTTTTCAGGGGGAGTGTAACTCTGTCTAGGATAGGTGGGTGATTTGCCTTTCAACTGTCCAGGAGCACCTCTGTCTTGTTTGGATTAAATTTCAATTTGTTTGCCCTCATCCAGTCTGTTACTGATGACAGGCATCTTTTATTTTGCCTTTTAATTTTGTTAAATTAAATTTTTTTAATGTTTTGTTTTCATTTTTTCTTTGTTATGGAAGAACTTCTCAAGCCTTTCTGAATTACTGTAGCAGAGTGATGGATTGCTCATTCTCTAAAAAACTAAATTTAAAGAAAGTAACAAATGAAAAAGATGATATTCCAATTGAACTGCTGCAATCCACATTGACAGAGTCAACTCCAGTGTTAACCAACGTTTGTCAACAGATATGGAAAACAAAGTGATGGCCAACAGGTTGGAAGTGATCAATATACATCCCCATCCACAAAAAGGGAGACACAAGAGGCTGCAGCAACTATAGGACCATACCACGCAAGCAAAATCATGCTCAAAACTCCAACAATACATGGAGAGAGAAAACCCAGAGGTTCAAGTGGGGTTAGGAAAGGAAGAGGCGCTAGGGATCACATTGCAAACATACAATGATTAATGGAGTGCACCAGGGAATTCCAAAAGAAAATCAGCATGTGCTTTATAGACTATAGCAAAGCCTTTGAATGCATAGATCATGAAAAGCTACAGAATACCCTTAAAGACATGGGAGTGCCAACACATCTAATTCCTATTATATCTGTACTCAGGATAAGAGGCTACTGTCAGAACAGAACATGGAAAAACAGAATTGTTCCCAATTGGCAAAGGGGTCAGACAAGGCTGTCTCCATTCACCTTATCTGTTCAACTTGTATGCAGAACATATTATAAGAAAAGCAGGATTGGACACAGAAAAAGAGGAGTGAAAATAGGAGGAAGGAGTATCAACAATCTAAGATTTGCTGATGACACCCTAGTACAAGCAGAAAATGGGGACTGCAGTCAGGAAATCAGAAGAAGATTAAGAATGGGGAGTGTGTCTATGAAAGTAGTAGAAAAGATTCTAAAATGCAAAGATATACAACTCAGCACAAAGTTAGAATCATACAAGCCACTGTATTCCATATTACCATGTATGGATGTGGGAGCTTGACAGCTAAGAAAGATAGGAAGAAAATTAATGCATTTGAGATGTGCAATTGGAGAAGAGTGCTGAGGATCCCATGGACAGCCAAAAGGACAAACAAGTGGATCAAACTGGAAACCTCCCTGGAAGCCAAGAGGACCAAACTGAGGCTGTCGTACTTTGGACACATCATGAGAAGAGAGGACTCTTTGGAAAAAACAATAATGCTGGAAAAGGTGGAGAAAAGTAGGAAAAGAGGAAGGCCACATGCTAGAGATGGATGGACTCTGTTAAGGAGGTCATGGGTATGGGTTTACAGGAATTAAACAGAGCAGTGGATAATTGGGGTGTGTGTGTCTTGGAGATGTTTCATCCATATTGTCGCCATGGGTCAAGATCGACTTGAGGGCAGTTAACAACAAAACAAATGACACAGACATGGAGTAGGAAACTGGGGGGAAAATCATAATCCAACAGATGCCTTTAACATCAGGGCAAACATACTTCAGACCGTACAAATTATTGCTCTGCAGGATGCACTGTCCATGTTGACAAGGGGATGAATACCACATTTTCTCAGCAGCAAAATATTTTGTTTTGAATACTTCAAATTGTGATTTCCTTGGAACAGAAGTGATTCCTTATGGGAATGTATCTGAATCCTCCATAACAACTGAGAATCAATTGTGCCTTTATTGCACAACAATCACACCCTATTGTTTTGATACTGTAGTATTGGCAGTGCTTCCAAACCACCTTGAAGCCATTTGAGCATGTAAAAAGGACAACATGATTCATGTGGGGAAAATGTAATAATATTTGTTGAGAATCTAATCTCTGCTTTACCCAGTAGAAGCAAGGTGTGGAAAGGCAAAGGTTCAACATTAGAGCCAGTGGCCATGCTGGCTGTGGAATTCTGGGATTTGTAGTCCAAAAATTAATTTCCCTAAGCTTTTCTGCTTTCTTAGGCCACTGAAATCACACACCTTTTACTAATCACTTGGAAATCTTTCATTGCTTTAATACAATCACAACTTCTCTGCTTGTTTTGAGCATTCAAAATGTGATTTCCCTGGGACAGCAGTCTTTCCTTACAGGAACTTTCTAGAACTTGAAAAGTTACTTTTCAAATGTAATCTTGTATGTTATTCATTCCAGTTCTTGAAAAGTAGGCTGTTACTATTACTTCTTGCTATTGGCTTAAATACCCTAAATGCTCCAGATCCCATCTGATCTTGGAAGCTCAGCAGAGTCAACTCTGCTTAGTACTTGGGTGGGAGATTGCCTACAAATTCCAAGTGCTGTAAGTTACATGTGCCTTCAAATTGACTTATGGTGACCCATTGGATTTCATAGGATTTTCTTAGGCAAGGAATATTCAAAGGTGGTATTACTTAGAAATATTGCCTACAGCAGGGGTAGGCAACCTAAGGCCCGGGGGCCAGATGCGGCCCCCCCGAGGCCTTTGGACCGGCCCCAGGACGGTTCTGCCGCCGCTGCCGCCGCCCCCCCCACTTGCCATGATGATATTGATTATTGTTATTATTACTTGTTGTTGGGGTTTTCTTGGTAAAGTCTCCACAGGGGTTTTGCCATGGCTTTTCTGGGGCTGAGAGAGTGTGCATGCATATTTTTTAATTTTTTATTTTTTAAAAAAAAAATAATGATTTATTTATTTATTTATTTATTTATTGTGCTTTGGCCCCCCAATTGTCTGAGGGACAGCAACCCGGCCCTCGGCTCAAAAAGGTTGCCTACCCCTGGCCTACAGCATCAATATTTGTTGATGGTCTCCCATCTAAGTACTAACTAGAACTAGCCCTGCTTAGCTTCCAATATTAGATGGGATCTGGTGCCTTTAGGGTACTGAGACATATATAGAGTTTGTCTATTCCAAAGAGATTGGTGGGTTATCTGTAAGACTTTGTAAGGTTTAAGTAATGTTATAAGAAAGGAAGACACTTTAGACTGTAAATCAGTCTGGTGTTCAAGGTCAAGCCTGAGCATCCCAGGGAACCAGGAATTGCATGTAGGCAAATGAGCTGGCTGATAATGGAGAAATGTTACTCTTTGCTTTCCCCCATACCTGACAAAAGTACCTGACAAAACATCTCATAACTTTACCCTGAGATGTGAAGGAAGAGAATTTGTGTCTGTACATACATGGGTGTGCATGTATTTGCATGTGTACATCTCTGTGTTCATGTGTGCATTCCCTGGATAGCAAGACCAGCTGTAGCCCTGGAAGGCTTGGGTACCCTAGTGTTACATCTCCCCTGAAAGAGAATTAGTGAATTCTCCACCTTCTCACTTTCCTTCTCCCACAAATGCTGTCTTTTCCCCTCTTACTTTCTGAGTTGTTTGTGCATCCAATATTTATTTTCTCTATTGGCACGTAGTCCTCCTCAGTGTCCTACTTTAAATGATCAGGAGAGCTAAAGTGAAGTCAGTTTGGTATGCATCACAGTGGCCTCTTGTGGCCATTAGGGGAATCAAAAATTGTAGGGCATCTATGAAAACTTCCGTCCCAACTCCAAAGGAATCCATCCAGAATAACTACCATGTTCTGTCCTTTATTCACAATCACTGATATCCTCCTCGTGAGGCTGTAATAAGCCCAGGCTGACAAGGGGTTCAGTTTTGCAAGCTGTAGAACAAAGCTTGGGAAAGTTAATTTTTGGATGACAATTACTAGAATCCCCTAGCCAGCATGGACAATCGCCATGGTGATTGTGGGATTCTGTGAGTTATAATTTTTAAAAATTAACTTTTCCAAGCTTGGCACTGGAATAGGAATCAAATAAGCAGTTCAACGGTCATGCAATAATATTCATGCTTTGATATTTCTGGACTCTGTGACTTTCAAGCTACTCATATGACATTTCCACAAGAAAACTGAACAAATTAGGGCTAGAAGGGACTGCTATCAGCTGAATATGTAACTGACTAAAGAGAAAATTGTGCAGAAAGAAGGATAATGATTGATGGAGCTATATCAGTTTCATGGACTTGCAACACTGCTTTACTCTTTGAAGATAACTTGGTTTGGATCTCAGAAAAGCTCTAAGACATTGATATGTCCATGAATGCCCAGACATTTGCTTATGACCTTTGTATGATTAAGACATTTTAAGGGTGCAGTCTGGTGTCATTTTTTCCCCACATAACAATTGCAATAGTTATTAAATACCTTGGTTGGGTCAAAGTTCTGTCAGAAATCAATTAACAGAAACAGATCTTAATTGACATGTATAGAGATTTTGTAGCACCTTTGAGACTAACTGGAAAAAAAGAGGTTTCTAGCATGAGCATTCATAGACCTTAGTTACTTCTTCAGATGCTTCTGGTGGATTGAAAGCCATGGATACAGGAGAGCAGGAGTTTTATTGAAGATAACTGAAAAGCAATGTTGGTTACTGCAGACCCAGCCAGCATGGTTAGATATATAGTTTGCAAAGGGCTCCCCACACATAGGCCCTTAGGTCTTAATTGAGTACCCTAAAGACTAACAAGATTATTGGACATTTGTGCAAAATAAAACTTGTCAGTATTTAAGGTACCTCAAGAGTCTGGAATTTTGTCTTAGCTAATTCTTGACAGAGAGTTCAGGGGTC